ACACTGTTTCTTTGCCAGAAACCTGTTATTTCCTCATTGTCTTGACTTTTTTCATTTTTGCTAGTTGCTCAGGCTGGTCTGGAACTCCTGGCCTCAAGCAGTCCCTCCACCTTGACCTCCCAAAGTGCTGGGATTATAGGCGTGAGCCACTGCGCCTGGCCTCTCGACTTTTTGAAAATTCTGGAAGAGGGGGAAGCACAAGTCTCTGATCTGAGGAGTTGAAGTGGGCCTGGTCAGGCGCTTCCCTTGGTTCACTTTCAGCTCTTACAGAGGCTTAGGCAGTTGTTTGCTGGCCTCATTCACTTAACAAATACTAGGCAGTTTTTATGACCCTTAAGCAGTCTCAAGAAAACTTTGACCATCAGTTTTTAAAATTTAAGATTTCTGGCCAGGCGCGGTGGCTCACGCCTGTCATCGCAGCACTTTGGGAGGCCGAGATGGCCGGATCACGAGGTCAGGAGATCGAGACCATCCTGGCTAACACGGTGAAACCCCGTCTCTACTAAAAATCCAAAAAATTAGCCAGGCGGGGTGGCGGGCGCCTGTAGTCCCAGCTACTCGGGAGACTGAGGCAGGAGAATGGTGTGAACCCGGGAGGCAGAGCTTGCAGTGAGCCACGATCGCACCACTGCACTCCAGCCTGGGTGACAGAGCGAGACTCTGTCTCAAAAAATAAAATAAAATTTAAGATTTCTCCTGGCATCCTTCAAAGTACGGCTTTGTTCTGGGCCTCCTAGCTTTGTGGCCTTTGCCCAGGACTCCTGGCCGGATGAAGCCTACATCTGGTGAGTTTGGTTTTTAGCCAAAAGCAGATCTTGGGCATTGAATCCTAGAGCTGGAGGGAAAGTCTCTAAGGGGCCAGATGATCTCTGCCTCCATAAACCGGGAATCCAAGGTCAGGAGAGGGAAAGCTGGGTCATAGCTGTGCCCTGGCTAGAACTGGGAGCCTTTGCGTCCTGTCAGCGTGCCGTGGTAGAGCCAGGGGGCTCAGTCACTTCCCCTCCAAACACTCATCCTGTGCAGAAACAGGCCAGTGTGTCCCTGCAAGACAAGCCTCAGAGCACCACCTCCTGCCAGCAGCCTGCTGCCTCCTGGGAGGGATCTGGAACCCTTGACCTAACAGCGTGTGGCCCTGGTCTCTCTGCCGGCACTGGGGCCCCTGTGCAGACCAGCAATGTGGTCACAGGTCGGCCTCCAGCCAGGGAGCAGTATCCTGCCCCAGTGGTGAGGTTCTTCCTGTTCTCTCCCACCACCTTATCCTACATGTGACCATTCGCTGCCTTGGCCAAACCTTAGAAAGAGCATTCCAGGAGTTGAGGGAGAGGCTGTGAGGGCACAGAAAATCCCAAGCCATTTCTGGGTGGCTCAGGAATACAATCAGACTCCCATCAGCCCTGGCTCACCCCTTCCCTGGAAATGCCTAGGGCTTCTTGACCTTTGCCTTTGCTGTGCCATGCCTGCCAATGGGAATATCCTCCTTACGGTTGGAACCTGTGGGAGCTGGGGTCAGCCCACAGGCCCAACTCAAAAGCTCCGACTGCCACAAAGGGTGCCTGGCTTGCTTCTTCCCAGTGCCTGGAATTTGTGCGTTGTACCAGGCACTCAGCTTTTCTAGCCCCCCAAGGATATGAGGATACCTCCCTCTATCCCTGTCTTCCAGGCACTGCACATTTAGACATAATCTCATAACAATGTCACAGAGAGGGTAATGGTCCCATTTTACAAATAAACTGAGGCTCAGAGATGTCATATCTTGTCAAAAGCTATGGATGGCAAGGCTTGGAGATCACTCAAGAACCCCCTTCAACCTCAGCTGCATGTCTCCCAACTAGGGCTGAGTCCCTCCAGGTAGGGCCTGGCCCAGCCCATGGCCAATACCCAGTAAATGCTTGTGAGATGAATTAGTTGGTGGATTAAGCCTGCAGGGGGCCCTTATCTCTATGCTAACCTGAGTTTGAAAGGGTTGTTTTTACTTTTTAATTTAGTGGGGAAGGGGCACAGAGATTCCATGCCCTCCCTGGACATACCACCCTCCCTCCAGGAGCCTCCATGCATGTAGCTATCTGGAAGCTCCAAAAGTGGTTTTGTGATTAAGTGAGGTATTGCGCTCTGTTAAGTGCTTTGCTCATGCCTGGTGGTGGTGAACAGTGTCTGTTAGAAGGCAGAGTGGAGACCCATGTGTCTCCATCAGTGCCCGCCCTCTGGGGGCACCTAAAATGACCCTTCGCTTCAGAACCCAAAGCTCCTCTGGCTAAGGTGGGGGCCAATTTGGGTCCCTAGAAACAGCGCTGGACACAGCAGCACTGCTTGAGTTCTGTGATCACTATGCCTTGGGATGCAGGGGAGTTACTAGGCATTGGAGGGTTAACTGGGAACTTAACCCTCTCTACAAAAGAGCTTCCATGGGAAAGGGGGGTCACCGGGGAATGCAGGTTGCCCCATTCTAGCTCAACCTACAGTGACCTCTGCTTTACATAATCACAATCCTTACAAACACCCCAAAAGCAAGGTTCCCTTGTTATCCTTAGTACTCAGATCAGAAAACTGAGGTTTGCAGAGGGCCAACCTGTCCTTGGTCACAGGGCTAGAAAGTGAGGGACATGGGATGGAAACCCAGATCCATTAGATCCTGAAGCCAGGATCCTGTTGTTCTCCAGGCTAAGCCACCAATTTAGGACAAATAGAACATGCTGGGAATTGGGGCTTATTGGAGATGACGAAAACAAAGGCCTGAGGTTTAAGTGGCTCTGTTGTAGACAAACATTGAACCCCCTGGAAGCCTGAGCTTTCTTTCAACAGTGTTCAGAGTAATGGGAGAAAAATTAATTCCCAACAAGGCCTCTCCGAGTGCAAGGCAATGGTGGGCAAACCGGGAAATCACCAAAAGGCAGCCTGGGTCTCACAGGCTAGTAGCAGGGTCCTGCCACTCCACCGCAGCTGGTGGTGTGACACAGCTGGCTCTCCTGACATAGGGATTAGAAGGGATTATGCTGGGCCAGGGCTTACTGTGGCTACCCTGTTTCTGGAGTAAGCACTGCCCCAGCCAGGAGCCCTTTGGCAGTCCGCAGAGGGGCTGGGGTGGGACAGGGTGCTGCTTGCCTGTCCACATGTTCTGCCTGGAACAAAATCCAGGGCCTCTGGGACTTCACCTGACTCTCATCTGTACATGGGGCCCTGGTTCCTTCTGGGGGTACATTGGGCTGAGGGGGAACGTTCATCTCTTGTTTCATCCTCACATTAATCTGTCCATCCACTGCTACCCCCATCCCTTACCATAACCAAACAAAGCAGGTGCAGATGTTTGAATTAACAAGAGCAAAGTCTGATAACAAAAAGCAAATTTATTACCCAAAACTAGTAAAGGGGGAAATAGCCAGATTGCTATTTAAAGTAACTGCTTCAATTTTTAGTGGGGAAAGCAATTTTGGGGGGTTTTAAAAGGGAAGACTTGATAAGGAAGGCATGCAAGAACTGGGCTGAGTATGATGTCTGTGTGTTTTGTCCTGGTGGCTAGCTTGGGTTTCAGTCCACCTGGACTTCGGATTGACATTATTTTAACAATGGCCAGGTTGTTAATTAGCCATTTTGAAGTAATTTTTGGAGGTTTGCAGCTGGGTCTCCAGACTTGGTCTGTCTCAAGACTAGCCCCTGAAACTTCTAAGACATCACGCAATTAAATAGTAGCATACAGTTAGATAAATGAAAAGGGAGCATATACAGTGAGAAAGGGGAGGGATGTGGAGTCGATTTTAAGGCTAAGAAGAAAGGCTTTTGAGTTGCCTCAAGGTTACGTTTTGAAACCCAAGAGAATGGGGAAAAAAAGGTTTAAAATGCATGAAGTTAAGCTGCGGGCTACATTGCTTCTCTGATATCTGCTACTCAGCTTCCCTGCTCCTTCACTCTGCACCAGCCACTCTGACCTCCTTGCTGTTCCCCTAACACATGAGCCGTGCCTGTAGTCCGCGGCCTCTGCACTGACTGTTCCTCTGCTAGGAGTGTCTTGGCCCCCTGGCTCACTTCATACCTTCAAATGTCATCTTCTCAGTGAGGCTTACATTGGTCAACCCTTTCTCAGAGGCTTCACTCCACCCCCCAATCTCTTGCCAGCAATCCCTAATAGCCCTTGTTACAGCCTGCACTTTTTTCCAAATACTTTCTACCTTCTTTTTTTTTTTTCTTTTTTTTTGAGAGGGAGTCTCACTGTGTCGCCCAGGCTGGAGTGCAGTGGCGCGATCTCGGCTCACTGCAAGCTCTGCCTCCCGGGTTCACACCATTCTCCTGCCTCAGCCTCCCGAGTAGCTAGGACTACAGGCGCCCGCCACCACGCCCGGCTAATTTTTTGTATTTTTTTAGTAGAGACGGGGTTTCACCGTGTTAGCCAGGATGGTCTCAATCTCCTGACTTCGTGATCCGCCCGTCTCGGCCTCCCAAAGTGCTGGGATTACAGGCGTTGAGCAACCGCATCCGGCCCTTTCTACCTTCGTATATACCAGTTACCTGTTGTCTCTTCCCCCACTAGAAGCTAAGCTTCATGAGAACAGAAGTTGTCTTTTTCCTTGCTGTTTCCCTATTTAAGCAATGAATTCAGGAACCTGTGAGTAGGGATCAAGCTCCTCTTTCACACAAAGAAACACCTGGCCTTGGATGGGTGAAGGGCTTTATCGCAGCTGGCGCTGGGTGGAGCCGGAGTGTGAGCAGCGCCCATAGTGCTCCTCGCCTCTTCCACCCACCCAGAATCCTCCCCAGTGACCCAGGACCAGGCGGCTGCGGAGGGGCCGAGAGCCTTCACTAAATGTGACACATCAGTGACTACAGCCCTGAAATTGAAATTGGAAGCCCAGGCTTGTGTTCACGTCCAGCAAATCCAACAGGTGAAAAATCTAGCTTGTCATCAGCTTATAATAGTCCCATTATCAAAAGCTTAGCCAGGGCTGCTGATTTTGCTTTTAAATGTTTGAGGCTTTTTTTTTTCTTCCAAATCATTTATTTTTCTCTTATGATATGAGAACAGTAGAAAATATGGATAACTATGCAGTTTATGTAAGCATTCAACAATTGGGAGCGAATTTTCTACAATCGCGAGTGCGGTCACTCCGGGAGCGCATCAGCCCCAAGAAAGGTGGGCAGGCAGCCGCGCGTGCGGGCAAAACCTCAAAGAGGAGCGGCTCGGTGGCTCTTTCTGCCCCTGCTTCCCCTCCTCCTGCTTTACCGAGATCACTACCGGGGGCCCTGGAGACGGCGGTCCCCAGGGCACTCCGGGAGCCGACCAAGTCTCGCGGGGTCGCTCCGCCCGGAGGCTCTCCAGACCCCTGCGCGCGGCAGCCCTGGCCCCAGTCATCCCTGCGCGCAAGCCCGCGAACTCCGAGTGGTCAGGTCCTCCCCACCGAGGTGATTTCGATTCAACGGCGATCGGAGTCCCCGAGGAAGGTGCAGGCGCCTCCCGCCGCCGTGGGGAGCGCACAGCAGAAAGCTTGGGGCGTAAGCAAGAGGGGAAAGGAGGTGGTGTTGAGTGAGAACCAGCCGAGTGTTTTCCAAACATCCATTTAATCTTGGGTTTATCCTATATATAAAATCTTAACGTGAGGTAGGCTTTCTTATTCCCACTGTGCAGACAGGGAAAATGAGGCTCAGAAGATGCGGTGGTGGTCTGCAAGGTGGAAGAGCTGGGTTCGCAGCCAGGACGGTCTGAGGCTGCGCTCCTTCCCCGGGGGCCGCAGCGGGGCGGTGTCTAGCGCGGCAGAAGCTTGCCGAGGGCCGCTGCAGGCGCGCGCGGGCGCGGGGGCTGGTCGGGCAGCATGGCGGCGCTGTGCTCTGCCCGCAGGGCTAGGCGCGGGCACGCGGCGCGCAGGTGGCGCAGGCCGGCCGCGCTCACGTTGCGGCAGAAGTCCACGTGCAGTGTCTGCAGCGCGCGCCCGTCCGCCGCCACGGCCGCCAGCGTGCGGTTGGTGACGCGCGCGCAGTTCTCCAGGCGCAGTGCGCGCAGGCGTGGGCAGCAGCGCAGCAGGCGGGCCAGGCAGTCGTCGGTGACGTGGCCGCAGCCCGACAGCGTGACAGACGCCAGGTTGGGGCACCTGTGAGGAGAGTGCGGTGACTCGGGGCTCACTGGCTTGTTAAAGCCACCCAACCGCCCCGGGGACTGGGTGGACTCATTTACCGAGGAGGACTCGGGCCCTGCGAGGTGAAGACACTTGGCTGCGATGACACGGCAGGGTTCCACGTCGACTTTCTGGCCGACCCATTTTCCCTGTTCTTTCTGCCCCTGCACCCCACCGTACCTTCATTTGCGTGGGTTCTTGGCTCGTAGCCTCGGGAGCCTTAGTGGGAAGCCCTGACCCCGGCCCAGCAGAGTTCTGGGGCGGCTGTGGACAGAGGGAATGCCGGTTCTGGGAGCCACAGCCCTTGTCTCTTTGTTTCACTCTGGATGTGCTGCCTCGCAGGGGAGCGGTGCGTGGCGACTGACTGCTCCAGTCTAGCTTCAAGCCTGAGGCCCCTGAATGTCCCGGCGGGACGTGAGTGGGAAGAGGGATTTGTTTCCTTGGAGGTGGCTTAGTGACAGGCCCATCCCAACCCTCGAGGCGGTGGGGGCACGCGTCAGCATTGAGTCCGGGTTCAGCTTAGTTGACTAGAGCTGTTTCTGCATCCCCTGGGCCACCAGCCTGGAAAAGGGCAGGGATTGGAGGCAGCTAGACGCAGGCCCTGAGCAGGTACAATCAGGGACACCCACCCAGGTGGCTTGCCCAGAAAGCTTGGGGGAACTCTCTGCTGCAGCCTCACCAGCCCCTCCCAACAAAAAAAAAGATCTTGAGCCAAGTTAGACTTGGCTTATCGCCGTGTCAGTCACTCAGAGAGCCTTCGTTTGCTCTGCATGGGGGAATAATGTCTACCACTGGGGTTGGGAGGAGCCTGCAACGGGGCCTTCCACAGGCAGTCATAACCCGCTGTCCCTGGAAACAAACGGGACCAGCCTGCTTCCAGTCCAGAAGGACCGACTAATGGGCCGGGGCCTTGGCTCCGCGCAGCCAGAGGGAGCTAGAGTCTGGACTGGGGAAGCGTTTCCCTTTCCCCCCCGTCAGCACCCCCTGCAGCTCCGTGACTGCCCGTGGCTGGGCCAGCTCAGCTCCTTTGTGCCTGGGGTGGGAAGTAAGGCACTAAAATATGCTGGGCGCAGCTAGGTGTCACACCGAGCCCAGGCCTCCTTCAGGTTCATGCGCCTTCGTTAGTCACCCCGTCAACCTCTGCACCCCTAGTTTTGTAAGTGAAGAAACTGGCCCAGGGAGCTCAAGTGACTGGCTGGTGATGGTGACTTACTTGCTGTCAAACCCAGGACAGATGTCTGAACCTTGCTGAGCGCCACTTTCTCATTTGTCAAGTGGGAGGAATTGTTACCTTCAAGGTGGTTATAAGGATTCGCTGTTTAAGCCTCAAAGGTGTTGGGTGATCTTTTCCTCTAAGAATCTTTGGAATAATTCTGATACGGGGAAAAAACAAAGAGCGGACTGTCTCCCTGCCCAGCCATCCTCAGCCCCTCCCGACCTGAGCCGAGTGCCAGAAGAACCAGATTCGGTAGACGTTCATCCGTACCTACTATGTGCCAGGTGCCACTGTGTCATTCTCTTATCGGATAAGAAAAAATTTAGCACATTTTACAGAAGGAGAAATGAGGTTGCAAGAGTTTAAATATTTGAGCTGGGATCACATGGTTGGACGAACTGGGTGACCCAGCAGAGCCCTGACAGCAAAGCCTTTTGCTTTTTATGTGACAGCAGGGCCCCTTGCTTGATCAGTACAGTGGCCTGGGAGGTCCACTTCACACCTGCAGGTTTGGAGCATTAAGCTCGGTTCTCTTACAGTAAGAATGGAACAATTTCAGGACATGTTCTGCCATTCGCACCCTGCTCCGCCGCCGCCCCCGCCGCCCCGCCCCTCGCCATATCACTCTCTAGTCTGATTCTTGGGCCTTGTTAAGCCCATGAAAATGGCCTTGTCCAGTCAGGGTCCAGCCCCAAGTCCATCTTCTGTTTTCTCCCAGCTCAAAAGAAAGGTGGGGTCACGACGCTGTTTCCTTCCACTCCTGTAGTGCTGCCAGCAAATAGCAACTATGAACTTGGGTGGCAGTAAACTGGCTGAACCTAGTTTTCCATGAGCAGCAGGCCCAGTTTGCTAAGTGATCAAGGGGGTGTTATTCCTCAAAGGCAGCACAGGACTGGCAGAGGCTCAGTGAGAGGCTGGTTGAGTAGCTCCGTGTTCTTGCCTGGGTCACTATACCCATGAGGCTGGGGCCGTGGAGGGAGCCTGGCCTAGTGGTTCAGCGTCTATGTCTGTGTCTGGGGTGGGGTTAGCAGATAAACACAAGATGTACTTGGGATGTACTTATACTAAAATATTATTCACTGTTTATCTGAAATTCCTATTTAACTGGGCAGCCTATATATTTGCTAAAACCTGGCAACCCTAGACTGTGGGCAAATCACACCACCTCGTGGAGCATCAGTTTGCTAATTTGAGAAATTAGGCTAAGTCACCCTCCTTAGGAGTACTGTGTAACTCAGTAATTCATCTACTCCTGGAGTCTGGTTTGGCTTAGCTGACCCCAGCACCCTGGCTCCCCCACCTCTCCCCTCTGCATCGTTTCCCAGGCCTCGGGGGCTGCTTGCTAGGCCTAAGGGAGGGGTGAGCTGATTGCTGCATCTGGAAGCCTTTTCCCAGAGCCTGACCTTGAAAATCCAGGCCCAGCTGGACCCACCCAGCACTTAATGACTACCAGTATGGAGGCCCCACTTCTTGGTGTTTGCATGAAGCAGCTCCAGGACCTGTAAGGCTAAGAGGAGGATTAGCAATTGTTTCCCTCTTGATTTTATCATCTCCTGGGGACCATGCTTTGGGCAGGTCTGGATGTCTGCCTTGGGCCTGCCTAGTCTGAGGCACCCCGAAGGTGGAGCCATCTTGGTCTTGTAATTTGCTCTTCCCTGCCCCCCAAGAGGGAAGCCAGAGCTAGCGGGGCCAGCACTGCTCAGGAGGCAAGGTGGCCTACCTGTCGCACACCTGGAGGAGGAAATCATTGACCAGGCTCTCGTGCCGGCTGCAGATGCTTCTCTGGAAGGCACTCTTGAGCCAGTCCTCGATGCTGCACACCTGCACGCGGCTGGAGTGCCAACAGATGGAGAGGCTGCGGAGGGCCGGGCCCAGGAGGAAGTTGTCCTTCTGGAGTTCAGTGAGGGAACGGAAGTGCAGCAGGGACCACAGTGCGGGGTCCTCAAACACGTCGTGGAGCTGGGAGCAGGTCCTGGCGAGGCTCTTCCTGCTGTCCTTGTCTAGGAAGGAGAAGAGGTGCAGCAGGCACTCCCGGTTGAGCTGGGTTATGTGCATGGTGAGCAGTGGCCACATGTGAGTGCAGCTGCAGCCAGGGGACGGGCTGACCTGCCTGCTCTCCTCCTCCCCGGCCCTGGGCCGGTGGACATATATGGTTGAGGAATGGTGTTTATTTTTGGCTAACAACTGGTGCTGCAGCTCTGCGGAGGGGTGAGGGAAGAAAAGCCAGGACCTAGACATACGTGCGGCAGTCTGTGGTTCGGCTTCTGTTCAGAGGGATTGGAGGTCCTGGCAGAAAAGGAGCCTATTGAAGTTACTTTCCTTAAAAGGGATTTTTTTTCCCTTTAGCTGACAATGGTGTTTAGCGGCAAGCACTTTTGGCTTTTCCCAAGGCGTTTTCATTGGCGGTGGCAGTGGCGGTGGCCCGGCCAGCTCCGTCTGGCCTTGCAGTCTCTACTCACGGGGAAGGAGTCTAACTGTAAATGTTAACTGTGTTGATTTTCTAGTACATCAGTGTGGAATCTTTTGCTCCACCCTTACTAGGAAGAAACCTGTGTGTGAAGAGCTAAGAGTGACAGCTGTGAGTTGTGAGCAGAGTACATGGCTGCTGCCTCATTCCTGTGGTTTTGTGCCATACAGTAATTGTCTCCAGGCGAGGCTGATTGGCCTTCAAGTCCTGCTGCCTGCCACTAGGCAGGGGGATTCTCCTGGCCTCCCCAACAGCTAGATTTTTACCCTGAGTTGTTTCATAAAAGATTTTACTGAAGTAGCTTCTTTCCAAAGTTGTGTGTCTGTGTTTTATTGGTGTTTTGTGGTTGATTGTGTAGTTTTGGTCAAGCAGTACTGAGTGTGTGTTTTAAATTTAAATTTACTTGACTTTACATTTTCTCACTGGTAAGGCCTTCTACTATGTGTGTATAACCTGTATTTCCCAAAATGTCAGGATGGATGAGGTAGCTCTTAATGTGAAACTGCTTGAAACAATTTTAGTATTTTAGTCCATCTTTGCCTTTTAAGTTGACCACACACCATCCGCTCTGAGTGCCCTCTGTTCCCTCTTGGAGAAGCCAGTGGGGCCACCCCTGCGCTCTCTGACTCAACTCTAGGCCAGGTTGCCTGGAGGTACTGTCCTTCCTGAGTACCCGAGGCCTCACGATATGGCAGACCCGTTTCCTCATGCTGCTTCACTCCCAAACCCAGGACCCAAACTTAACTCCCTTCTTTGAATCCCAGGCGGTTTTTGGTTTGCTTGGGGGATGCTGATATGGTGCAGCTGTACAGGCCACGTTCTGCCTAGGCAATAGTGAGAAGAGAACGGTTTTTCCTCTGCCAGTCCAGGGACTACCACCTCAGTGGTTACTTTTGCTTGTTCTCCCATTTGGAACAAGAGGGAATGGGAATCCTTTTGTTTTCCCATAGACACAAATGAAGCAGCCTATGCTGAACCCACTTCTGGAACTAAGGTTTGGTCAGGGCTGGTGCAGCTTTGCCTTTAAAGGCAGAAGGCAGTCAAGCAAAGAAGAAAGTAGCCATTGTCAGTGGCTTTCCTGAGAAGCCAGCCTCAGCTGGTGCCCCTGTGCCTCCATTACTCCACCGTGCCAAGATGAAGTGCAGGGGGAGCGGGGGTTCTCTTAAAAACAAACCAAGGAACAGTCAAAAGGAAGCATTTCCCAAGGAAGGGGAGCCAGCTACTGCTGCTATTTCAAGCTCATCGATGTAGTTCTCAATCACAGCTGACACCCTAGTTTAGGCTCTGTCTAGGTGTACTTCTCCACTTAAAATGGATGCTGCAGTGCCACAGGTGGTGTTATTAGAAAGCTGCATTATCTTCACTTTCCCTCCCCAATCCTCCGCAAACCAATGCTTTTCAGAGGGTTGACCCTTAGGAATAGGTGGTTCTTTCAACTTCTTGCAAGGCCAGAGTGGTACTTGTGCCTTCCACTGAGTGAGAGCCACTGCTTCAGCATGGCTTCCACGTTGCACTACTGCAGCCCTGCTGGAATGGCAAAAGATTGGCAGGGAGCACATTTAGAGCCTCGCCTCTCTGCTGCCGCTCCAGGTAGGCTGCAGGAAGCATCCTGGACTACCAGGGCCGGGGGGAACATGCTCCTGCATGCTGCAGAGGGTCTGAGGCACAGCCAGAGGAGGTGACGAAGCTCTGCCCCTTTGGCCTTGTCCAGAGCTAGACGGTTTGGCAGCAGTGACAGCAACCACGCAGCCTCTGACCAGCACAGCTGCCAAAAGAGAATGTGCCCCATGGAATAAGGATGCATAATAGTTTGAACTGCAGGGACCTGTGTCTTCAATTTTAGAAGACTGACAAGAACAGGCAAAGGACGAATGTCAAAACAGGGTTCCGTCTGCAGGAGGCATGGGGGCAGAGAGGTAGTCTACAGGAACTTAACTGTAAGCAGGATGTTTATTTAACAGTTATTTGCCTGTTTTACCTTAAAAGATGACCAATATCCTTTGCTCAGAACCCCAAAACTCATGCCTCAGGGTACAGTCTAGCTCTAAAGGGGAGGGAAGGGGCCTCATTTTTGTAAGATCAGTAGTCACAAGAGACTGAGGTGATTTCACTGAGCAAGGGTGAGTGGGACCTCAGGCACCTGACTGCAGGCACTAATCTCCCGGCCATCACTTTGCCCGTACAGGTCACTTCATCCTGTTCCAGGTACAGCAGCTCCAAATCGTGGGGATTCTGTAAGATCTTCCTACCTGTTGACTGAGGAGGCCCACAATTTGAGTAAGTACATCATCATTTATGTGGCTCCACTGAAAAAAGGTGTTCAGAAATAAGTCAAAAGGAAAGAGAACAGACTTTTAATGATACTTTTTAAAACAGTTCAGGCTGGTGAAGCAGAAAAGGGATGTGATTACAATTTAAATGAATCAGTCACTTGCACAATTAATCTTCTTGGCATCATACACACTGGGTTTTAATGGAAAATGATGACATCACAGCATGACCAATGCTCATGGAAGGCAGTCTAGAGTCCATCACGCTCACACCTGAGGGGGAAGGCACTGCACCCACTGACGAGACGCAGAGACCTTGGACTACAGACGACACCACATGCCCACTTTTTCCTCGCCTGCCTATGGCTACTCCTAGTCACCTGGGACCCAGGCCTTGGCTGCAGGAACAGACTTTTTCCATGGGCTTTTCCAGGGCCCAAGTGTAGAGGCCACTTCAGCAACAGAGGGTACAGGAGAGAGTTTAGGGGCTGGTGGAGATTAAAGTGGGATAAGTGTATCTAAATAGACTTATGTACACTAAACCAATGAAGGAGAGGTTTGGCTTTAAGAAATAAATATGTCCCCAACCCCAGAAACCAAGCTGCTGAGTAGGTTCCACAGGTGAGATACACATTTAACACTCACTCTGGGCCAGTATACTTGACTGGTTTAATTCTAGCATATTTGTCATCACTATACACTGAGTAGAATACAGTGGATAAGCAAAGGTTTCTCCACCATGGAGAGAGATTTGTGTTGCCACAAACTGTTTCTATCACCCACCTGTGTGGGAGGACTTCTGAGAAAGTTTTCTTGTTCCAAGGAGCCATGTGACTCAGTGCGAGGCCCTGCCTCAGCAGAAGCTCTGAGCGAGAAGCCACATATATTGCTGGAGACAACATGGCACACGGGAAAAGCCCTGAAGAGCACAAAAGATCAGCTTTCAAAATAGGTGTGGTAAGGCTACACAGTTAAAAATTAAAATACAATAGGCACATTTACATCACTGGTGTTCAAGTGCACAATTCAAATGGATCCAATCACTTTTCTAAAGAATCTTCATACCATTCAAACGTTTCTGTTCAAGTAAAACCAACCAATAAAAACAAATTCAGAGAGAAGACGTGTTCATCTCTTAAGCCAACAGCATCACCTGTCTGAAGACCACTCTGCCCGACAAAGTAGTCCAATGTTGCTAAAGATCCATTTGGTATAAAAATACAGCTTTTTTTCACCATCAACTCTGCCCAGGCCCTTACTGTTCAACAGCTGCCCATTCAGAGACTGAAGATGGAAGGATCAATGCTAGAGGTTTCAGCTGTCTACCTTCTAAGCAAAAGAGCCCGGATTCATAGGAGATACTTCGCACGATCACAGGAGACACTCACATTTTAGGTTCAATTAGATGTGGTGTTAATGTGTGATACATCAGATCAGGTTGGAGCTGTCATTTTTGTAGATCAGAACTCGTCAAATAGCAGAGTTTCATACAGTTTAACCTAATGTAATTTAGCACTGTAAATTAACTTAAGCACACATTTCCCTATTATCTTTTAGGACTCCAAGTTGTAAGACCTAAACATGATGGCAAAGCTTTATTCTTTGGAGTGAAAATTTAGAGCAGCACTGTCCTACGCTGTCTGCGGGTGCTGAGCACTTGAAATGTGGCTAGTGTGACTGAAGGCACTGAGTTTCTAATTTCAATTTCAATCACATGTGGCTAGGGGCCATTGTACTGGATGATATAAGTTTACACATAATTGCAATTTGCTCCTTGTCATCTTAAAGTGTTTAGCAGATGTGTTCTGGGAAGATGTGGGATTTATCCAGTTAATACTAAAATGGAAATGGAGCTACATCTGATCCCACAACTTCAGATACCCAACCTGAGGGAAAGCCATCAGACTGTTCTTACATTCATAAACTTAAAAAATGATCAAGATGTTTTTAATAAAACAGGCTGGGTGTGGTGGCTCATGCCTGTAATCCCAGCACCTTGGGAAGCCAAGGCAGGTGGATCACTTGAGCCCAGAAGTGCAAGACCAGCCTGGGCAACATGGTGAAACCCCCATCTCCAGTAAAAATATTAAAAATTAGCTGGGTGTGGTGGTGCCAGCTACTTCGAGGCTAAAGTGGGAGGATAGCTTGAGCCTGGGAGGTTGAGGCTACAGTGAGCTGTGATCATGCCACTGTGCTCCAACCTGAGGGACAGAGTAAGACTCCATCTAAAAAAAGAAAAAAAAATGTCTGAAAGTTTTGTTGGCTTAATACAAGATACATTTTGTTCCTTGTGGAGAACTGGTAGGCTACATCTACCAACGCCCCCCACAACCAAAAAAAAAAAAAAAAAAAAAATCAAAGGACTGTCTTAGAACACTTGTAGAAACTACAACTGCTTTCTTTAAATGGAATTCTGTTTCCAAATTTGAATTTGAGTTAAATCTATTTTTTAAAAACAAAACTGGCTGGGTGTGGTGTGGTGAGGTGGGCAGATCACCTGAGGTCAGGAGTTCGAGACCATCCTAGCCAACGTGGTAAACCCCCGTCTTTACTAAAAATCAAAAAAAAAAAAAAAAAAAGCCAGGTGTAGTGGTGGGCACCTGTAATCCCAGCTACTCGGGAGGCTGAGGGTGCAGTGAGCTGAGATCATGCCACTGCACTCTAGCCTGGGCAACAGAGCGAGATTCTTGTCTCCAAAAAAACCCCCAAAAAACAAAACGAAAACTCTCCTTACTCAAAATGAGAATACTTTCAACTTCTCCTCTCAGGATAGGCCAGTGAGAGGTGTTAAAATCCAGAGCAGCAGAGATTCTAAATGTCCTCCGGTGGAAGCACACCCCCAGTGATAAACTGAAGTGCAGGTGATGAGCCAAGTAAATCCCAGAGGCTCACACCTCAGACTCAGGTGCCAAACACAAGCAGTAAGTCTAAAATGGACATGCCGTGACTTCCAGTGCTACAACTAAGGGGGAATGAGAGACTGATTCAAAAAGGAGGCAGACGCCATGGCTTTACCTCACTGTAACACCTATACCATGTCAGTGAGTCACAACATTTTTTTAAACATTACATGTATTTGGTCTTTACTCCCATCTTACCTCCCCGCAAACAGGTACGCCCCAAAACCAAAAAACCAACAAAGACAGTAATTCTTGTATTTGCAGGACAAGTACAACTGAACCAACAAATTTATTTAGTTAGTGCTGATAAACAGCAGCCTTGAGAGACAAGCAGTAATTACCTGGTCTACTTAATGATGCCCTTTGTTATCTTTTACAGGCAAAAAGAATGATTACTCAGCAGTCACTGTGAAATTTTGTGGGCCACAAGTTGTGTGCACACATGATCCTTGATTTAGAGACAACCTGATCTCCATTACAGCTGTGAAAAGACAGCAGGCAGTTGTGTCACTCTTCACAATAAGGAACATATCTTGCTTTCAGCATGTGAGAGGAACAAAAGCATTGATGTAAATGTGCCTCATAGTGAGAACTGAAAACATTAACATAAAATAAAAAAGTCAAATAAGACTAAGTTCTTAAAACTACATATAAAAATTGAATTATTACAACTAAAGCAGCAAATCAAAACGTCTGCTGAGGTTTTCTGGTAGAACAACAACAAAATTAGTTGGTGCCCATGTTCAGTAACTCACTACCATTGACAAAACTAAACCCAAAATAGGAAATTGAAAAGTGCATAATGAAATTAAATCTTGGATCAAGTATTTGTGGAAAACTGGAAATGTTTCTCTGGTATGGTTGATGAATGATGATTTGGAGGAGGTATTAAAGTTTATCTGATCCAGCTTTGGCCTGGCGTTCCACGTAGAAAAGGATGTAGGCCTTTGCCTTCACCACAGTCTCCTCGTCAGTCAGTGTTACAGTACTGTCATTGAAGTGGAACCAGCGGCCTTCGTGAGTTGCGTATGCTGTGTAATGTCCAGAACCAACCCTGTAAAGGCAAAAGACCAAAGGAAAAAAGAACCTCAGAAATCACAAAAAGACCTGTAAACTACATAATGTTAGATTTAAATTTTAGTAAGAATACATCCTAGACTTTTGATTGAAGATGCTTACTAAACTCATGTTTTTACCTTCCTCCAGACTGACCAGAAATCGAGGGTTTGCTACAATGCAAAGCAGATGGCCCTGGACTAATGGAGAAAATACAGAGGAGGAACTCTCAACCTAACGAGCACAGGTCAAGGCCTATGGAAACATGGAAAACTACGTACCAGGTTTTCCCATCAGAATCTTAGGAAAAAACTAAGCTTAACAAAGAAGGGCACCCTTCTCTGACACCGTGGTCATCGGGGCTCTCCCCGATCAGCATGACCCACCCACTCACACACGGAACCTTAGAGTCAGCCCTCCAAGAAAGACAGAAGGCCTGCAGGTAGAACAGACCTTCGTAACTGCCAGCAAAACCCTATTTAAACAATAAAGATCCATCTCATCATTTACTATGATTCAGAATAAACCACCAAAACCAAATTTTAAAAATATTTAAGCCTTTTGCATGCCTACAAAATCAAATTTTTGAGAGGAAAGAAATACCAGGAAGAACAAGTAAAGTGATCAACCCTGAGGAATTGAATGCAGAAAACCTAGGGGAACTTTAAATTTTTTAATTAGTGCTAATAGTTTCAAAAAGATAGTGCAATCATAAAACAAGAATAGGCTGTTATGAAAAAGTCAGAAAAATGTGATTGCTGTAATATAAATATTTCATGGAGGAGCTAATCTTTTATTTGGATACAGATGAAACCCAAATTGGTGATTTGGAAAAGTAGGCCATGGCAGTCCTTAGAAACAGAGACAGAAATCATTAAAGAGTATTTAAGACATGTGGAAGAGAGATCCAGGAAATTCACTATGCATATAATAGGGGGTACAGAGAACAAAAAATGGGTTCAGACCTACAGTATAAACATTTTCATGAGCTGAAGGCACCAAACTAAAGGTGTCCCTACCAACTACCAAGCAGGAATACATTTGATGATATTTAAGTCCAAAGATCGAGGATCCTACATACTTCCAAAGGGAAAAAAGCCAGGCGCCTATAAAGTAGTGAGAATCAGACTTGTCCTTCATAACATTATGTGAGTGTAGATGTTACTTTATTGATCTCACAGCTGTGCGGGAAAAGGATTTTCAACATGGATAGTCGTTTGCACACATATAGTAGTCTTAAGTTTGAAGGTAGAATAGCAACTCTCAGACCAAAAACCAGGTTAGACCCCTAATACAAACTTTTAGGGAAAAAAATTAGTGTTATTTAATAAGACTTAAAATGAATCTTTACAGTAGATGACATGGAGTAAGTTATTCCAAATAATTTCCCCTCTTGCCCCATTTAAATTTCAATTGGTAAAGGAATAAGCAACTTTGGAGTCTGTGGACAAATAGACTGGGTTCTAAATACTGGGTTCAAATGAACCATTCTCCATTTCACTTTTATTTACCTTCCCTTAAGGCTTCACATCATCTCAAGAGTACTCTTCTACAGTAAAACTGAAGGAAATTTCACCTACTTTATCTGAATCCATTTTTTAGGGAGAAATATCAAGAGTGGTACAAAACTGCAGGTCATTAGGCTGGCCACCAGGTATTCCCACCCACCAGAAGCTAGCTGTTGTACTCACCCGGAACCATGGTGCACCACCACAGCGGCGAGGTCATACAGGCAGCTCTCCGGGCCACTGTTCTCAGGCTACAGAACAAGGAAGAAGGAGCAGTGGTCAATGACATCAGTATGTCAATGACCTCTAACCTCTCCGTGTGATGACAATCTTACTGAAGAGCCATTTTTTCACCATGCTAAAAAGGTAACCACCTTACCTCTAGTAAGTAGCATTTCATGTCTAGGCCTCTCAATGGAAATTCTACATATGTATCAACTTTATTTCTTAAATATGCTGTCCAGTGAAATCTTTTCAAATGTAAGCATAGCACCTGGAGGACAGAGATGAGGTCAAAGATGGTGAACACCTAAGTTACTTTTCAAAGTTTGATACTACTATCAGTTCAGTAAATAACATTTTAGCTGTCCTATCAATCATTCTTCCATGCATACCTTATGCATTCATTCTGTAAAGGGTTTAGCTTTTACTGAAAATCCTAGAGACATACAGAACAGTTCACATAGTGTAAAGTTATAGACATAGTCTTAGCAGTCAAGCATTTTTCCCTTGAAATTGCTTCATAACTCAAAATTCAACACTCACCTTGGGTAGTTTTTGAATCCAAAACTTTTTTGTGGACTTTTGTTTCTTTTTGCATTTATGGCACATATATAACTCTGTCTCATCAAGTTCTTCTAAGTCAGTAAAACTGCGAAGACAATCTAAACAAATTGATTTTGGCAGCATTAAAACAAGATACCTTTTATAGAGCCAATGTACTGTAGAAAAAAGACTGAACTTTGAAGCTGAATGACGCAGGTTTAAAATCTCAGCTTTATTAGCTATACGACCTTAGAAAAGTTAACCTTTCTCAGTTGCAAACTGGAGACAAAAAATAATACCTACTTTGAAGAACTATTGTAAGGGAGACAAATAGCATGTGTAAAGCACCTGGCATCATGCCTGACATCTGGTGATCAATTGTGTTGGTTTTACTATTAATGAAAATTCATCTGGGTAATTCTGATAAAATGGTTTCCTGATGAATTTAAAGTTTCAATTGTGGTTTTCTGTCAATATGTTACATGATAGAGGACAAAGCTCCAAGCTCATAAAAAAAAAAAAAGTCAAATTTAGATCATTTAAAAATCAACATAGATCACAGAAGGCTATGCTATCAACATTCTCTGTCCAGACTCTGTACTCTCAGTTCCTAGATAAATCACAGCTACATTTTTTTTTTGGTTTAAAGATGTAATTGTGTAACCTGGGGTTTAGTAAACTACAGCCCTAAAACATCCAGCCAGCCACCTGGTTTTGTAAATAAAGTTTCACTGGAACACAGCCATGCCCATTTGTTTACATTACTGTCTGGCTGCTTTTACACTACACCAAACTGAGTCACTGGGGCAGAGATCTTATGTGGTGCAAAGCCTAAAACACAGCAAGTCCTCACTTCATGTCATGACAGGTTCTTGAAAAATGTGACTATGTGAAGCAATTTTTTTCTCATCAATGTTATAACTAAACGTTAAAGGAAACTGTTACTGGAGGAGCTGCTGTACGTCATTTTGCTTTAAACTTGCAGTTTCCAAGAAATTACTGATGACATTAAATGAAGACTTACTGTATTTACTCTCTGGCCCCTTTGCCAATTCCTGATGCAATCAGATATTCATAAATCTATATAAAACGCACGTTATTCTGTAGAAAAAATATGAATGCCTGTGGACCCCACACTTGGATTTTCTCGAGTACTCAAGGAGCCAGGGTCTCTGTGCATGGCCTCTCCTAGAGTTGTGCAGTGGGCAACCTGTGCGGCCATGTGCTTCTTACCAAAAATAATTCCCCTTCCTCTGCCCAGAAGTAGCCATTATCCTGACTTTTATGTTAATCATTTGTCTTTACAGAGCATGTATGTATCTTTAATGTATTAGTTTAACGTTGGGTAGCAAGCAGAAACCTAGCTGTGTACAGAAAAGCACTCTTGTCTCTGTACTCAAGTTTCCAAGCCATAGTCAGCCTTTGTGTCTGTGACAGTAGCAGACGGCGCCCTTTCAGGGAAAGTTAGTGGAGGCAAGGTGTGGCAGAGGACTAGACAAAAGTCTTGAATATGCCTTTGTTGCCTGATCCCAGTACCTAGAAGGCACATCCTACACCTGCCTCCCTACAACTCAATTCTCACTTCTTTGAACCTTTCTTGACCTCCAGTGGACAGTTACCATTCTTTCCTCAATTTTCCACAAATACTAGAATTGCCAACCTGCTCAACCTGCTATTTTATGTCAAGGATGGTTCCTGGGAAAGGATATATTATATATATATATTTTTTTTTTTTTGAGACAGAGTCTCGCTCTGTCGCCCAGGCTGGAGTGCAGTGGCGCAATCTCGGCTCACTGCAAGCTCCGCCTCCCGGGTTCACGCCATTCTCCTGCCTCAGCCTCCCGAGTAGCTGGGACTACAGGCGCCCGCCACCGCGCCCGGTTAATTTTTTGTATTTTTAGTAGAAACGGGGTTTCACCGTGGTCTCGATCTCCTGACCTTGTGATCCGTCCGCCTCGGCCTCCCAAAGTGCTGGGATTACAGGCGTGAGCCACCGCGCCCGGCGATATATTATATTTTGACATTACATTTCCTGAAGAAAGTCTCAGACTCTACACTCAAACTTGCAAATAGAGTGATGTTGTTCTCAGGAGCCTCCCAAGTCCCACATCTCTGGCTACAAAGAGCACTGACTGGCTGGCACTGATAATCCCTTCAGACTGATCACTATGGTGCTTGTGAGCTCTGCAGGTGAAGTCATAGATGCTTTCATCAGCAAGTATTTGTTACATCATGTAAAAAGCTATGGCCTTGGCGGGGACAGGGCGGGTCATAGGGAGAATAAGAAATGAGGAAAGGAAACAGAATTTTCCACATTTAAAATCATCATTTGAACACTCAAACTAGAAAAAGGAGAACTTCAACATGACAAAGGCCATATAGGAAAACCCACAGTGAACATCACACTCAATGGTGAAAGACTGAAAACTTTTCCTCTAAGATCAGGAAAACAAGGATGCTTACTTTTGCCACTTCTGTTCAACATAATATTGGAAGTTTTAGCTAAAGCAACTAGGTAAGAAAAAAAACACCCAAAATGAAAAGGAAAAAGTATAATTATCTCTGTTGACAGATCACATGATCTCATGTAAAAAACCCTACAGTTACAAAAAAATTAACTGTACCTGAAAGCTATGAAATGTTGCTGAAAGAAATTTTAAAAGACAGACATAAAGACATCCTGTGTTCATGGATAGGAAGACTCACTATTGATGTCAGTTCTTCCCAACTTCCTCTATAGATTCAGTGCAATCTCAAACCAGCAAATTATTTTGTGGATGGTGACAAAATTAAAGTTTATTATGGAAAGGCAAAAGACCAAGAATAGCAAACACAACATTGAAGAAGAACAAAATTGAAAGACTGATATTACCCAACTTAACTTATTACAAAGCTATAGTACCAAGACAATGTGCTGGCGAAAGAAAGAAAACAGATCAGTGGAAGAGAATAGAGCACCCAGAAATAGACTCATACAAATATAGTCAACTGCCTTTGACAAAGGAGCAGAGACAATACAATGGAGAATGGATAGTATTTTCAACAAATGGTACTAGAACTGGACATTCACAGGCCAAAAAAAAAAAATCTAGACACAGACCTTTTATTCCCTCCACAAAAACTATTAAAATAGATCAAAGGTATAAAACTTTCAGAACATAGGAAAAAATCCAGATGACCTTGGGTTTGGCAATGGCTTTTTAGAGCAACACCAAAGGCATAATCCATGAAAGAAGGATTTATAAGTTAGACTTCATTACAATTAAAAATTTTTGCTCTGTAAAAGATACTGTCAAGAGAATGAAAAGACAGGATACAAAATC